GTAGCAGGCTGGTTGGCTGGTGGAAACGCTCGTTAACGGGCTCTGCGAGACCCGTTCCCGGTTCACGTAACCCCTTTTTACCGAACCGATCTTTCTCGGCACAGGCTGATCGATGTTCTCGGAAACGGGGCGTCGAAGAGAATGAGACGTTTCGTTGATTGCAGGGTGGAAGGTTACGACGGTAGGCACGTATTTAACCCCTTCGCATCGGAGGGCGAGATATCTCGCCACGTGATTTCGTTCATGATATGCTTTGGACGAAATATCTTGCAACGCAATGTCTCATGCTATGTACGAAATATCTCGCGACACAAAATCGTTCATGCGACGCTGTGTACGGAATACCTCGCATGCCTTTTTATTACAACATTTTTTATATCTGTCTGAATTCTATTCTTATAATTGTTATATCTTGCCGTAACGTTTTGAACTAAATATTGTAAAAATCGGTCCTCACCCGTATGAATTAAATTAAATTAAATTAAATAAACGAAAATCACGTGGCGAGATATCTCGTCCTCCAATGCGAAGGGGTTAATGCTCGTGGCGAACAGACGTGTCGGTTGAACAGAGAAATATCGATCGAAATTTTTATTTAGTTATTTAATGTAAATAAGTCAGCATAAAAAATAGTTGTATGGTATCAGTGCGTGGCGTCGTCGAGGTTGAACGACGCAAGATCGGAGGTTTAAGCTTAACGGGAATCGAGCGATACGCGGTAAGGCTTTTTGCGACTAAGCGAGAGCGGGCTTTTCCAGGGACGGCGCTACAAGAACCGGACGTTCTGGATTGCCCGAGTGTGAATGGAAGTTCTCGCGGGTGGGGTGGTCGAGGACGAAGAGCCGTTTCGGCATTCAATAGACGGTCTTCCATGGTGAACCACGGTACCCGCGGACGATTTGAATAACAAAATCACCAGGAAGACGTATTATCCTCGTCCCCCCGTGGCCGTGCGACCGTGGCGACTTCGTGCGAGTTTATCGCGGGAGTCGTTTGCATTCCAAGCGAAACCGATCCCCTCACCCCCCTCCCCAACTTCGCCCATTGCCAGGATGCTCAAGATTTCCATGCTCGTCGACGGCTGATCTCGTCCTTGGGCCGTGATTCCGAATCAAATTTCCGAGGAATCATCGACCAGCAACGTATGCGTTGCTCCAATTCCGAGAAACTGATCTCTCGATTTGCATCCTCATTTCCGTTCGCGTTCTGCCGGCTGGAGTACTCGATGTTACAGACCGAGTTCAAGAAAACTCGACTGACTCGAGGATTGAAGTATACAGTATTGTAAGGAGGATAGACTATCCTACCTAACACCCTGTGTTTCTGAGGCCAGAAGCCACGATTTTTCGATTATCGCGATATTATTAAGAGGCGGTGGAAGATCGAGAGAAAGAGAAGATGTAAAAAAAAAAAACAGGACAAAGAACGAAGAAAATATCGTCGGGAGTTTACATTACAAAGTATGATGAGGGACTTGGCCGTTCTCCGTTCGAGAGATCTCCATGAAGCCCCGCGTTAAAAGAATCTCTGGTCTGACCATATCGGTCGAACAGGTGTGCCTGTACGACGCAGGAATAAACGATTAGCGATTCGATTAGCATCCGCGGATCATATCGATCGCGGCTACTTGAATTCCGAATGATACCGAGGGGGGAGGCTCTCGTTCTTTCGAGAAAACGATTTCGCAATCGGCTCTGCATCGCGACGTCGATTCACGAGAAGAACGGACCGCATTTAATTATCGGCAATTCGACGGTGGATGCAACGAGGAGTCAATTAACGCTGCATTTTCCTATCCGAGAATCCTGTTAGTGTCCTTGCCTACTCTCGCAAGAAGTTGACATGATGCTGAATATATATTTCCATCGTGAAACACAACTATCGCATAATTACATTCAATGCGAACGAGCCAGGCAGGTTGTAAAATATTCAACCCTTATTCCTTGATCTCTCCATTATCCACCCTTTTACATTCCAATTCGAAGACTTCGGATGTACCCTATGCCACCTGCCGTTACGAAGTTATACCTGCAGTTCCATTCTATTTCGTCGAACGAAAGAGAAATCGGCCGAAGAGTAGCAGCAGCTAACTAACATCGGGAAGAAAGGGTGAAGAGGATAGAGACCGATCGAAGAAGGGGGGGAATGAGAGGAAAAGAAATGGAGCGGGTGACCGGTGGTGGCGCTAGGCGATCGGAAGTGTGTCAAATTACAGAGGTCCGTGATATTAATGACTCCTAATGACATGGGCCTCCCTCTCACCCACCCCTTCCACCCGTTGGTCCCAATCTCCCACCGGACCCCGTTCCTCGACTCCCCACCAATTCGACGTCTGATTTTCTCCTACAGGCTTCCCTCGAACCTCCAAGGTTGGGCCCCACTCTTTCGTCGTTCCCCTTCCATCCCACCCTCGCCCTGTCGGTCGTTGCTGGCCGGTGCACCGGATCCGATTCACGGAATCGGCATTAAAAATACAATTACTAATTGACGAAGGGCTAATAGCAATAAGACAAACAATGGGGGCTAAATGCTATAAAGTAAAACACAGGTCGGCTCCCCGTCCTTTCCCCCGTTGTTCCCACTCCCGCCCTCCCCCGTCGATCGTTCGCTCCTTCTCGGTTTCGCCCCTCGTCTTTTGCGGTCTGTAGATACACAGAGAGACGCCGAGGAGGTTCGCAGGATGTTCCGTAGGAAGAGTCTTCTCTTGCTTAGTTACGACCGGTTCAGGATTTCCGAGAGTCCGGTCCAAGAGCCGATTTTTTGCGGGTCCACCGGAGCTTTGTTAGCATCCCTCCCCCCTCCTCTTCGTGATACTTATTTTTCCACCGAGGGACACACGCTTTTGATCCGCGCCGTACCCAAAAGGATTCTCGCGGATCGGATCAGAGGGCTCAAAGTCGAGTCGAACAAACGATGGCGTGTTGAAGAAATACGATTATGTAATCATCGTAGGGATTATAAAATTCTTTTACAAACTTGTCCAGCGCTCCCGGATTATTACCAGGCTCTAGTTCACCAACCCCACGGTTGTTTTTTCTTCCTAGAAGTCACGGGATACACGCACTTGTGCCGTCAACCGTACACATCGCGATGGATCTCAAACGGTTGGCCGCTGATCCGCTCGTTAATGTCCAGGCGTCTCGGACATTACGGTCTCCTCGACGTTGGATCCCCCGACGTGTTACATTCTGCGACACGTGACAGATCAGGAGAGTGGTGCGCGCAGTTACAGCACCGATTTCCAGAACGGTCAGCAGAATTGTAAAGCACAGAGAGAGAGAGAGAGAGAGAGAAAGAGGGTCGTTAGTTCTCACGCGAGCCTAAATTATCCGACGGAATGTTCTCTCCCTTTCTCCGTGGTCGTCGCCTGTCGGTCGTCTGTCGCGTGAGAGAAGCCCCAGTCCTGCGATGGGGCGTATCACCGGCGATAAAAATCCGACAGAAATTTTCTCACAATTGGTGGGTAAAATTTTCTGTAGGGATTCGAAAAGGGCCGCCTCGGGGTGCGGCGACGTCTTCATCGGTGAAGACTCTTCACTGAAGAGGACGATTCTATGTTTCTCTCTGCGCGCGTGGTTTTACGATCTCCGGACGCAAAAATCATGGCGGCCCCCGGAGTGGGGCAAGGTCGGCGGATAATGCCCCAAGTTAAAAGGCCGCGGTTATACACCGCGAAAGAATTCTCTCTCCAAGGCAAATGACAAACCGCCGCGCGGAGCCGGGTAGGCGGTACTCTCGAGCCAAGTGTAATTGGTTTTATGACATATTTTACGTGGAAAAAGATTAACCCCCTCCCCCTCCCCTTGGTGGAAGGAGGATCCACGCGGAACCACTGCAGGATGCGGCGACGCGGAGCGAACAGACTAGCGTTCCGTGGATTTTGCTGGAGGGAATATTTTAACCCCCCTCCCCAGTTTACGGAATATCATGGGGGATCTTGTTCTTGGAAAAACTGCTCGATCGTGATTACGGTCTGTACGGATATCTTAATTAAAAGACTCGAGAACAGTCCATCCTTGACCGAAACGACTGAATAAGGGGATCGTATGTATGCAATCATTTTGAATGACTTAACACTGGTAGGTACTATTAAACCAGAGATGGGCAAATTCCATTATCTAGATAAAGAGTTTCGAATAACGAATAAAGGATCGAAAAAAAAAGTATTTCAACATTTTTAATTGTCGTCGCTGAAAGCTGACGTTTCGCTTTCATTATTTATATAAGTATTGCAACATCTTTACTGAAGTAGAGATGTTAGTAAATAAAATGGTAAATTGTATGCTTATCGCATTCCATGTTATTATATTCGTCGGAATGTCCATTTTACAAACGATACGGTGGGTCAGTGTATCGAATGAATCGTCAAAACTAACGATACCGTGTACCCTGTTCAGAACTATCCACTTCTATCCTAGCAGCGACAGAGAAAAAACACGAGCTGTATCGGTACGGACGAGCCACAGGTTCCGACTTCTCGTGGCCGATTAATAAAATCCCCGTGGCGCGCGCTGCCCCCCTCTCCCGCCCCCCAGTTTCTTTGCCGTCTGAAAATTTCTCAATCAGTCCTTTCCTTTCCCGACGATTTTCTGCGGCGGCCGGTCGCGCACAATATAGGCTCATCGTTGCAATTAAACGTTGCCCGGTTACCGGTCCGGGCGTACCGAGCAAAAAGGAGGCTAAGAAATAACGACGCGGATTTATAATGCCGATACTTCGCCTTTCGCTCAAGTCCGCCGTGTCGTATTATTCGTTTGTGAAATTTATGTTCCTGCCATCGGCGAAGGTTAAGCCCTTCTGGTACGTTAATCGTATCGACATGGAAAGAGAGAGACCGATCGGGACCAGATAGAGAGAGAGAGAGAAAGAGAAAGGAAGAGAGAACGAGGAGATCAGAGGGTTCGTGGTAGCGAGAGAAAGGGAAAAGAAGAGAGGAAGAGAAGTACACCAACGCGAGCGCGGGACGACAGACGGGACGATGAAACTCTGTGCAAACTCACCTTGTATGGATTCCGGCGAGGCTGGCTCCTTATCGATTCGGCCGAGCGCGTCGCTGGCTGCAACAAAAAGTGCAACGGGGCCTCGTTAGTGACGTCGCGGTTATAAAACCCGAGCCCGGGAAACTTAGCCTTTCATTTCTTTTTTTTTTTTATTCCTCGTAAAAATGATAGACGACGAGACACCGAAAAGAATTTTACCCCCCTCCCCCCCCGCCCCTGATCGGATCGATGTTCCCTTGGACATTATCTTCCCTGTATCTGACGTTATAACGATGGACAGCGACGACCTGGACGCTCTTGATTCCGAGCCACGTCCTTCGAATCGTCGATTGCTTCGAAAAACTTTCGAAGATTGGCCCGTTCAATGATACCGGTTATTTCAACTATTCCCCGTATTCTTAGCTCCCTCGTAATACACAACTGAAACTAACCCGTTCTTCGACAGTGAAATTAATCGGTATACGTCAAACGGATAATCTCTAACCCCGATCTCCTCCGAAATTCACCGATTCCCCGAATCGACCGAACTGGAGGCAGCCCCTATATAATTTCGAGAAACTCGTTGCCCACATCCTGCAGTAGCCTGATTAAACCAGGGGTGGGGGACAGGGAGTGAATGAGATCCGGCAGATAGCGTTGGGACACCCTTGAGAGTCCGTTATCAATCAGTCTGGAATTATGCTAAAACGCGAGCAATCATCGCGACACATGGCGGCCCGTCCGCCCAGCTTCTCCCCATCCCCCTTGTGCTTGCAATATCACTATTCCCTGGTAAATAGGGTGAAACGAGAGTATCTCCTACGATCGATATTCAAATAATCTATTTGAACTCCCTCGTGGTCACATGGTGCCGGAAAGAAGATGGTGGTAATTCGGTGCCAAGATGACCACTATATGTCACGGGGGGGGCGGGGGTAGCAGTGGAACGCGGAGACCGTTCCAGGGTGGCCGAGGGCGGTCACCTACTACCCCCTGGGGGGTCGCAACTCACCCCTGAAACGACTGTATTCAGATAATCCCACACCTTTTCCTTTCCTACGTTTCTCGCCTCGGGCACACCGAGCACGACATTTCAATACCTCTGCCAGGATAACCCACGGCAGCCGCAAATACGAGGCGGATCTACGGACGTCTCGTCCGCTCGTGGAAAATAACGGAGGCTGTAACGATGACATATCGACGGAATGAGGGGGTGAGGGGTCGGAATGATGATGGGAGCGGTGATTTTTGCGTTAGCTCCTTCGGACATTCGGACGAAGATGGTCTCTCCCCTCCATCTGTTGGTTTTATTCCGTCTGTATACTTTTCTTGTCCGTATTTTGGAGACTCACTGTACAAATTAGGGGTCCGGTGCAAGAGGGAGTTGTGCCATAACAGTAGAGATATTAAAGCTTTTATGAAAAGTAGTGTACATTGTAGTATCGTATTACATTGTTGGACCCAAGAGGATCCAGAATTAAATATAAAAATCACGTTTTCCGTCATTCCGTGGTATAGCTCTTTCTCGCACTGGACCCCTCAAATGGAATCATCGTTGAATTCCTTGTCTAAAACACGGCAAATAAAGGGACCGCTAATAAATCTGAGGAGAAACCGCGAGATTACGTTGACCACGTTTTTCCCAGGAACGATTCATAAAAAAAGATCACGCATTCGACGGTTTCCCTAAAAAGGAAACGGTGACGTGGAATGCGTGGTGGCCATCGTCGTGCGTCTAACGATTGTTCCGCGGCGGCGGTTCTGAAAAGCGAACAATGCAGAAGGCGGGAGGGATCCTTGATGCGTTCGTTTTCATTATTAAACGAAGGACTCGCCGCTCGAAGAAACTGGCACACGTTTACATTAAATATGAAACAACGGCCTCGTTCCGTGGTATCCGCTACGCGCGGATCGACATTTTTTTTTTTCCTTCCTTTCCAACGGCGCATTAGTCACAAGTGCAATAACGCCCCGGGGCGATATCCCTTGCCGATATTCTCGTGGAAATAAAAAAGGTTGATTAAAGCGCCGCCGGGTGGTATGATCCCATAAATACCACGAAGCAACGAACAACGCGCGGGCTTCGGTCAGTGTCACCCGTGTCGTTAAGATGATAATTCGATCTACAGGAGGAGGAAACGTTTCGAATTGACCTGAAAATATTTCTCTGGAAGTCTGCCCTTTGATTAATCGACAATGCTACAACGTTGATACGGGCCTCCGAACAGGTGCCAGTCGAATTTAAAGGCGAACCTTAAATAAATACGACTCTTCCTCCCCGTTAACGTGAAAAGCCTCCGGAGGATCGTAAAGTAGTTACGGGCCGCCGGTTATTCACAATTTCGTCGCGAACTCGCTCCTAAACACGTCATCTCGTGTTCAGTTTTGTTGGGTAAATCGGTCGCCGGTGCGTTAAAAAGAAAGGGACCGACTGTTCCTCGAAGATCTCTTTCTAAAGAGTGGAGTTTCTCTCAGTATGGATTTCCTGTATTTTGATTAAACGGTTATATCCATTTAATTGATTCTTTAGGTGTTGCAATAATAAATATGTAATGGGGGAAGGTTGCCGAATTTGGATTATTGCCTAGGTTGGACCCGAAATAATAAATAATCGAAAGCAGAAAACACGATATTTCCTTGGAACATTGATATTCTCGTGTGTACGTAACAGACGGACGTCGGGGTTCCACGGTTGTTCCGCCGCGCTGTTCGCTCCCAGTCACTTATTAATTCGGCACGATCGCCTTATGACAGGTTGGAATCGCGTGCAACTCTTTCTGCTTTCGTATTCATAAAGGTCAGGCCTCGCGAGTGGCACTCATCGCGGCACGGTACGTATTCCTCGGTTCATGTGGACGAGACACCTGTACAAGATACTCGTCAGCGCTACGGACAGGTGAAAATGGACGGAGACGAGTGGTCGTCGAGGAACGATGGAGGCTCTGCCAAAACCACAATACTTACAACGTAAAAGTTCAGCGAAAAGCATCTCGCGACGTTACTGTCTCAACATTTACTTCGAACGAATAAAAACGGAACCTCGAAGAAAAACAAAAGCACCGTGAAGCATTCAACATGCGATGAGTCACCATCCGTGTTATGAGTTTCCCAAGAATTCCGTAGAAAAGAATCGTTCTAAATGCCATGTGTTGTACGGATGTCGGTTTCGAAAGGATTTCTGCTCTTTTAATATGAAGCACGCGATCTTGTCGACTCTCCGCTGGTTATGTGATACAAAAAAATAAATAATATTCTTCCTTTTTCCTCCTATATAATCGGGAGACTGGTCGCCACCAAAATCGGATCGATCCACCCCTTCTGCGTTCTTCCAGTGGTCGCCATCGCCCCGGGTTGGTTTCGCCGGCGAAACGAGATTTTAATATTTAAACCGCGGCCGCGATACAATAACTGTAATAAGCATAGGAGGACGACCGGTGGCCGGTGCTCGCACAAGAGACGTCTGAAATATTAATGCTGACATTTCGTTGCTTTTGCGGTAGTTTAACCGCCATCGCCCGGTTGCCTCAACCCTGTACACTTGCTTGGCCGGTTTCAAGGCTGCGGTTTCCGGGGGAACGATATCAGGCGCGCTCGACCATTCCGTGCCGCGATATATTCTAATCGTGGTAGAATTCACAGTAAGCACGCGTTCCTCGACTTTTGTATATATATATATATATATATATTTTTTTTTACCCGCCACTCTTTCGACCGAAGGAAGCACCATGAATACGAGATGTGGCATCTGGATACATCTAGTTTGCGTGGTACCTCGGCCCTCTCATCAATTTTTAAGAACCACCTTGTAATACGTATGCACCACCCCCTCTTGACCGGCCGATATGGAAACCGCGTTTCCCATTCCCCTTCTTGATGCGCTTGGTATCCGAGGGTGAGAAAATCGGACCGCCACAACGGGCGTGAATAACGATGAGAACGTCGGCGAACAAATTCTAGAAGATTCGGACAGATTTTGTTCCTCTGTGATTCTTTCGATTGTTCGAAAGAGGTTCCGTATGAAATGATGGACGAAGGATTGTCGTTAACGGTGGAATTTTGTTTTGGAAATGCGTAACCATTTGATCTCTTTATTCTAGTAGATAATTTATCTAACTGAACCATCAGTTTAGAATCTTTCGTGACATCGAAACGAATCCACGAGATACGGAAATGTGTTTCCAAGCTAAATGATCGCGAACAGAGAATAATTCTACTCTGTTAAGGAAGGAGGTGGGAAAGTTCGCGGAAGAAAGAGAGAACATGGTCCAGGAAATCAACGATGGGAGAGAGAGAGAGAGAGAGAGAGAGAGAGAGAGAGAGAGAGAGAAAAGAGTGACGGGAAACGCAGCCGCTGGAAACAGCAGCGTTCTTGCACGTGAGTCGAGACTTTTTCCAATTACAAACGGCGCCATTCGCGAGCCGGCTGGCGTCGATTATTTTTAAAACAAGAATATTCCCTTCCGCCCCCCTTCTCCTCCCGAGACATAATGAGTAGGAGGAGGGTACGGAGGGGCGGGAGGGAGGACACGGTCGGAGGGCGCGATAATGGCGGCCGTTATGAAGAAATCAACCCACCCCTAACTCGCCACCGCACGCCGCCCCCTTTGCCCACTTGATCTTCCGTCTCCATGGCGACCGCCTTGTCCAACGGAACCCCCCGACTTGGCCACGGGAGGAGGTGGTCGCGAGAATTCTCTCTTATTATGTGGCTCGCTCCATCGACGAAAGGGTTGCGCAGCCTCGCTACCCTCGCCGCGTGTTTGCCCAATGACTATGGAAACTGTCGTTATCGGGAACAGAAGAATAATCCTTTCCGTCTTTTCAACTTGATTTATGCGTAATTACAAAGCAGAAGGATTGCTCTGTCAGAAAATCGAATAAAACTACCCCCTTGAAGAGTGCACAATTTACCGATTACTTATCGACGATTTACTGTACTTCTTCTCAAGGTGAGACGTCTCTCCCAGTAAATTCCGTAGGTATATTTGATTATGGTAGGTGGAGTAGAAGAGGACACCCCAATAAGTAATACAAAATCTTTACACAAAGTTGCGCAAGAATGGAAGGTGGGTGGGGTT